AGTTTGAAAAGAACATTTTTAATATATTTTTTGTAAGGCTATGTTTTTTGGTGTAGAACTAATTGCATAAAAACCTGGCAAAATGTAATTTGAAATGGTAAAACGGAAATTGAATTTATATACATATTTGTTTTACCTAATTCAAGAACTGTGTGGGAAAACGTATAAAATAAAGCTGCTCTAATACATTTCCAACCAATTTATTTAATGTTAAAAAAGTAAGTGCATCTGTGTTTTACTACAAACTGCAATATAAAACAATAACTAGACAACTATTTTGGTGAAATAAAATGAGTACATCCTCTCAAAATCAAAACAAAATTTTGTTGCTTTAAGTAAAGTATTTTCTCTGATCAACTTTTTGCCAGCACGTTTTCGCGCTTACAGACTAAAAACAATTTTGGGCACACGTGTTCTGGCTGCCATGATGAAACTAAAACCAAAATCAATTGAGATGCCGGAAAAACCGGGGAAATGACCGCAACTAAAACAAAGGTGCCTACCTGTAGGGACCAGCAGGTGGCTCGATTTTTGGGATTGAAAAATCCGGATGGGTTCGGTACTGAATCCCCTGTTGTCTTTATGGAGCCACGTGCTCGTTTTCATGGCAGGCGATGTTCACTGGCCAGGAAATTCATGGCCACTTAAATGCTGTAAAATGGACCAAGCTGCCGGCACTAAAAACCAAAAGTTGCTCTACCAAAACTTTAGTTTAGCTTTCATAGACACACAAACCAACATACCTTGGTCGCTTTTATGGCTCATCATTTTTTTCTTTTACTTCTCGTCCAATTTTTTTTTTGTTTGGGTCAGTCATAAAAAGCTAAAGTTGAACTTTTTCTAGCTGAACGGGTAGCCGGCGGTAAATCAGTTTTTATTGTGCATAAATTAAAAATGTTCAATTATAAGCAGAAAAAATGAAGAAGTTTCTGGTTTCTGTTTTACAAAGTACCCGTTGCTGGTAGCTCAGTTTTCCCTGGATAATTTTGCCAGGCTTTGGACAACTCAAAATGTTACAAACTTTGAATATAAATCAAATGGCTGTTTCGCAATTTAGTTACGAAAACTGACTGAAATTGCGTGGAAATCGAAATCTGAAACATGCTCAATATTCAATGCACGAACAATTGTAACAGCAATTATTCATACATTTGTTCCGCATTAATGCGTAATTATTGTCAATAATTAACACTTTAAAAAAACAGAGAATTCTGCTTCGAATAACAATTTCGCTTTTCCAAACTCATTCATATATGTTTGCATAATCAGTCATTACGGTTTTTATGGTCTTCATTATTGTTGCAGGCCGAAATCCTTCTCTGGCACTTACTTTTGTTAATTCTCGTTCATTAAATGTGTTGCATACAAAATAAATACTGTTTCGTTGATTAACAAAAGACCAGCTTGATAATAATTTTTTGTAATGTCATGAAAACGGATTTCGCCTCAATAAATAACAATTTATGTAAATGAATAATATAATTATAACAAAACACATACTTAATGAATTCATTGTTCAAAAGACTTAATCATAGGGGAATACTGGCTATTATTGGCTTAAATAGAGTAATTTCCATCTCCCTTTTGTAAGTTAACTATATTTTATTAGTCGTAGCACAATATTTGTTCTTAGCATAAAAATTGCAAATATAATTTGGTTTGGTTTTAAAGAAAATATGTCAACAAAATACAACCTTTAGGGAATTTTAAATTGCCATCCTTCACCAAGTCATTTGAAGATGAAGGGCAGTCAAGAAAAGTAATTAGGAAATGTTTAGAAAAGTTTTTTTAACATTCAATTTTTTGAAATTTTCGAGCCGAAACTTACAATCTATAAAACTTCAAGCAGAATATATGTCAACGAGTCGAATGCATGTCCCTAAGGCGATGAAAATCAATTTGCAATGCAGCGTACTAGCAAAAAAGGCCGAGAGCAAAAAGAAAATTTCCAGAGACACATGCCGAGGCGCACAGGCTTTGCATCTGAATCTGAATGCGAATCTGCCGCTGTTGCTGCCGCTGAATTTGAATCGGATGGAATCAAGGAGCAGGAATCAGCGAGCAGAAGGAATGCCAAGCAATGCAAATAGCTCTAAATGCATTTCACGATGCTGTGATTTGATTTCAATATTCACCCGCTCTCACTGTGTGTGTGTTGACTTTCAATTTCTGTTCGCGAGCATAAGTTTTTCACCCAGTTTTCCTCGAGTTTTCTCCGAGCCAACCTGATTATAATTCGAATGCAGCGACTTCTGACTCTGGCGAAAATGTCATTCGAAAGTTGGTGTTCTCGAGCCTGCTGGCTGGCAGCTACCGCTTCCCTTTAATCATTTTCCGTACTGTTGTTATGCCGTTGGGCTGATTGGCGTCGTTCACTTAGCTGATTGCAGTAGCTATCAAAAATTCGCAACGACAACGTGTCGTATGCGTGATATTATGCCAGGTCGTGCTCATTCGCACTTGCCTCGCTGGCATCTTTATTCATGTTGTGAGTTGCACAGAAAAAAATATCTTGAATTATTTAAATAAATAAACAATACATTGATTTATAGATATATTTAAAATAGCAAAAAACTTCGAAAAATTTCTTAGCTAACTATCTCAGCATAATGCAGTCAAAAAGAGACTAACTCATAATGTTAAATTAAGAAAATATCATATAAAATATCATAAGAAATTTACTAACAACAAACAAATGGTTTTATTATTTTCAGCAGTTTCGTAGAGTGTGTGTGTGTCAGTTGGGAATGGAAACAAGGAAAAGTGAGGAACCTGGAGGAAAAACTTTGTTAATTTTCGAGCAGCTCACGCAATAAAGCAAACGCAGGCAGCGCATCACGTGCGCATTTAAGTTGCAAGTTACAACGGCAACGTGCCGCATCCAAAGATACACAGATACCGTACACCCGACTCCACACAGATACTCACTCACACCGTCATAGGAGCAACACTAGTTAGCTCATGTCAGTGTAAATTTTACACACAGGCGGCGAAACCTGATGCCGCATACAAAACCCGGGCGACTACCTTACCTTTTTGCGGTTTATGTTCTGGCGCGTGTGCAATAAAAAGATATACCCAGCCGACATAACGGCAGGCGAGCCAAGTTTTGGCATCTATGGCGGAAGCAGGACGCTCCCGGGAAGTCGGGCCGAATAGTGGCAAAACACATAGCTGGCTGCGCTGCATAACCAGGCAAAGGCGACGGCGACAACGACAACATTTATCAAATGAAATGCACGTGCCAAGCGATTGCCAGGCCCGCTTCCGTTAGACGCGTTTTGGCCGGGCTAGTGTCCTCCCAGGTGCCATAGCTCCAGGACGAGCTTGTGCACGAGGTTGGCAAGAAAAGTTGTACAACAGGAAAGTAGTAAGGTTATACCAGCATTGAAACCCTTCAGAAAGGGTTCCTTAAAATTATGATGCTTTTAGCTATTACAACAAAACTATTTAAATGAACTTTTTAATTTTATCTGAAGGCATTATTTTACCAAAAACTGTCAGAATGTTTTTGTAAATAATATATATATTATTTCAAAAATCGTTTCCGAATACTTTCAAAAAGAGATTAAAACAAATGCAAAGATCTGGTTTCTTCCTAAAATGTAAAATATCTGGTAAATATCAAACTTATTACGTTATAAGTAATAACTATAAATGTAACAAAACACTCCTTAGAATTAAATAAATCTGATGTTGTCTTATCTTGTCATATCAAAAACTTTTTAAATGTTTTAATTACAATGTATCTATTACTTTTGATGCTCTAAATATTGTTTATTCAAATTGAATTTTTATTAAACCATTGAAAAATTCTTTATTAAAATAAAAATATTCATTTATTTAATTAAGAAGCCCTCGTTCTTAACTTCCTTCATAATTCCGCTGTATTATGTATCTGTACATCTAATGTCTATGTGAGTGAAGTCAGCTGCCAAGTGCACTGCATCTACGTAATTATAATGAGCAAAGTTTCTGGGTTAAGTTTAATTTTCAATGAATTATCTTGATATGATAGTAAGTTATCAGAATGGATGAATAGAGGCTTGTTAAGCTATTGTAGATTGATTACATAAATACCCAAATCCATATACCCTTATTTGTAGTTATTAAGAAGTGTATGAACAAATTAATGGAGCTTAGAAATAACAATTTTATAAAATTATGTACGTTAAGCTACGTTTCGCTATTCTAGCATAGAATGTCTTTAGAATTCGATTATAATCCCTTCGAGTCAGTGTCCCTGTTGGCGCCCTCCAGAAATTGCATTCTGCTGTCGTCGAAGTTTCCGCACCTTGCAACCAAGTGGCTGCTACTTCAGCTGCTTAAGTGCCATGCATTGAGATTGAGTTGTTTTCCTTGTAGCCACATTCCCGCTTCCCAACCTTCGAGGCGCATTCCACTCGAGAAAATCGATGATGTCTTGGGTGCTTTTGTTTTTGCAGCCGCACTCCAAGTTGAAAATGTTTTGATAAACTAGCGCTCTGGCTATGCAAAGAAGGGAGAAGTGTACAAAAAATGGAAAAGCAAAGAAGCCCGGCAACTTTAAGCTGCAACAAATACAGCAACAATGGCAATTCGAACTAACAACAGCTTTAGCAGTTGTCAAAACGATGCTGAGAAAGGAGGTAACCAACTTTTTGGCCAGCTGTCGGGAAACAAGCGAGATGAAATTGGTAAAACAATTGTCAATGCGTCAATTTGAGTGGATTGCAGTTGCAGCCTCAGCAGATAAAAACATCAACAAGAACAAGTGAAGAAAGTTTGACCAAGAAACTTTTGCAAATCAGTGCACAAAAAAGGTGTTTACTGGTCAGTTTTAGTCTTCTTTTTTTAATGTGATGAAATCTAAACTCTTAAAAAACTTCCGCTTCAATTACGATCTAAAGAATGATATCTCCGAATGTTGTCTTAACTTATTTTCATAACAGTTCCACATAAGTTTGTCAATTTAATAAATACAATTTTAATGTGGTAAGTTTGGAATTTCCACAAACCTCAATCATAATATTGTGTTTGTGTATGAAAGCAGTCCGGGACCCAAAAATCAGTATACAAAACAACTAAACAGAGCGAAATATTCAACGAGCAACAAGGCAAAATATGATTTGGTACTTTCTTATATGCTGCCTGCTTGGACACTCGTTTGGTAAGTGGTTTTGAGGGCTTTAATTAACGTAGAACACTGACTTGAACCCTCTCTAACCGAAGTAGTTATTGGGATCGAGGCCAAATGTCTGCGGAGCACAGGCCACATGTGGCAGCTGAAGCCACCAGCCGACAAAGCCAGCTGCAATCGACCGCCATTAATGCCCAGAAATGCAACGACAAATGAAAAAGCAGCATCAACTGCAGTCGACGTTGCAGCAGCAACAATAGGAACACCATCGGAAGGTCCTGAGGTGGGAGAAGCCGCAACTGCCCCTCCTGCGGTAATTTTGGCCAACTACGTCTATGAGTGCGCCAGTCGCCGGACATTCAGCAGTTGCAGCAAGCAGCCAGAGCCGGAATCCAAGCCGGAATTGGAATCCGGCCCGAAATCTAAGGTGCCTAAGCCCCGGACTGCAACACTGGCAGTTGGCGAACTGGAAGGGTTCAGGCCAACTGGCTGAGATTATTTCAGCTGATGTGCCAGGTGATTTAAGCCCTCATATATACATATGCATATATTTCATAAGGCAATAAACTTAGCCATGATCTACTTAAGATTAAGATAGAGCTTTTCACTTTTATAATTATTGGTTTTGCAAAAAAAAAAACTCAAGAATTAAGTGTGCAATAGCTACGTAATTCAATTTAAATTAGACTTATGCAATTTATGGTTATTAATTTATGGTCATCTCAAGCTAAACAATCAGATTAGATTGTTGTTTTCCATTTGCTGTTTCCATTTTTTATTTTTAAGCCACAAAAATTAGCAAAGTGTTTGTGAATACAGAGACTGCTAGTGTACTTGAAAAGTGATAAGAAATGTAATTATTATTCAGTTGTAAACTGAGAGCTTTTCAGTTGTTTCATCGTAAAGCTTATCAGTAGCAGTAGATTAGAATAGTTTAGAAATTTATTCCTATTAGTGCAGTCATGGCAGCTTGGCTCACGTCTGAATACCTGGAAGCTGCACTGCGTCAGCATTACCAGAAGCCCCAAATTAAAGTGGAATCTGTGGATATTAAGCCAGCCCTGGGAAAAGGTGAAAACTATGGCGCAGTTTTAACACGTATACGCATTGTGTACAGCAATGACCTGGACGGCCAAGTTGAAGAGCACCTGATTGCCAAGACCGCTTTGGAAGATGAAGATGCAGAGACGAGGCGAAAGAAAGCTCCGTATGATATCTACAACCGGGAACTTGAGATTTACGGACAGGTTTTGCCCAAATTGCAAAGATTAGCAGGCGAACAGCTGTGCCCAAAGGTAGTACACATTGATCGTCAGCGCGGGGCATTAATAATGGAGGACTTGAGCCATAAAGGATTTGTGATGGCCCCACGGCTCCAGAGATTGGATGAACAGCATGTAAGTTTGGTTCTAAGAAAGCTGGCCAAAATGCAGGCAGCTTCAGCGGTTTTTGAGGAAAGTTCGAAGGGTAGTGAGTTTTCCCTTGCCAAATACGATCGCGGCTTTTTCAATCGCTATACGGAAAGTTTTAGGGCCTACTTTTTGGGCTGCCTGATATCCTGTGCCAGTTACCTGAAAACCCAGCCTAGCTACGAAGGCCAGTCGAAACTATTAGAGGACCTGGCCCCCCATTATATGGGACTGGGACTTCGCTGTTTTCAACCCGAGTACTCGCATATTAATGTCCTGACGCACGGCGACTTGTGGACAAACAACATGATGTTCAGATACGAGGCGGGCGTTCCGAGCGATGTCCTTCTGATTGACTTTCAGTACGCATTCTGGGGCTCGCCCACGCTGGACATCCATCATCTGCTCAACACGTCGGCCGTGGAAAAGTGCGAAGAGAGCTTCAAATGAAGATGAGATGTGTCTACCAAGATGCATTTGTGGGGGAGCTGCGGAGGCTGGGATTCAAAGGTCAAAGGTTACCCAGTCGAAAGCAGTTTCACCTGGAGTCCGAGCAGAAGCGTTTCTATGGTGGGTTAACTCGAAACATAAGTCCTGTGAGATTACATATAGTCATGAATAACTAATGTTTTAAAATTTAACTTTTAATTTGTATGCTTATCTTGATACGTAATTTAATTGTTTTCTTTAATTAAAATATTTAATGGAAACTCTTAGTGCACATTTTTTAAGTAATCAATATCCTTAGGTTTTTATTGTCTACTTAATTTTATTTTTATAGATATTATAGCATGACATTTCTGCATTTTAAATACATATTTATACCTTATAAGTGACGGGAACTGAAATAAGTCTTATTTTTCCTCACAGCTGTCCACTGTGGATTGCTGCTACAACCCGTGTTGCTGAATACCGATGAAACGGATGCGGATTTCGCGGCCCTGCTTTCGGATCAGCCCCGTGGAATGAACATGAAGAGGCGGCTGTATCTCAATCCTGACATACAGGACTCCATCAGGCAGCTGGTGGTGCAGTTCGAGCTCGAGGGACTCCTGGACCCGCGGCAGTACGAAGCACTGTAAGCGAACTTTTCTGCTCTTTCATAAGCTGCCCCCCATTAGACATTTCAATTAGACTAGCTAATAAACATAAAACATGGCAGCCACTGCCGCAGGCATTTTAGAGCCAGCCGTCAGAAGCTTTTTGCATTATGAACCGAGTTGGGAAAATAAGAAAAAATGCCAAAACGAAAACACATTCAGTTGGCCTAGACAAAAGCGCAACACATTTGGCCGCTGCGAAATGGGGAGAAATGGAGAGACGGGGGCGGCAAATGGAGGGGCACGAATAGTTACACACATTTTTTGAATTGTTTAGCATTTTGAATGAGTGAATGAATGGACGCCATGCCGAGCTGTGAGTGCGTGTCTGCCGCAGAAAATGAAAATGAAAAGAAAATGAGAAATGGAAAAGTGAGACCCGCTGAAAGTGGGGAATCCTGCACGTGGCCGCGGCTTAATTAAAACTTTAGTGCGAAATGCCACCCAAGCTGTTGGAAAATTAACCAAATTATCACGTTTTTGCACTGGCAATGCAGCATTCAAAATTGCATTAAAGCCGAGTGCAATTAGGCTAAGCTGCGCCATTTAGCCCGGCCTGCGCTTAAAACTAGGCAACAGTTTTAGAGGGTACGGGAAACACAACCGAATTCCATAATTTGAACAACTATCTGCCATTAAGAAAATTAATGTCTTTTTGCCACATTACTACCTATTGTCACAAAAATCAGAACTTTGAAAGCTGTTTATGTACACTGTACATTGTATAGCATACCCTAAAAAATGCTTTTAAATGGTTAACCAATAATAACAATCAATAATAACTAATGTTTTTGTAAGAGTAAATTAACTTTGTTAAATTAAAACCGTATGGCAGAGAATTAAATTATGGCAGACAAGAGGTTCTTCAAATAAACATTTCACTGTAGTAATGCACAGAAAAATCCTAAAAAGAAGACTACAAAATAACCAGAGCTGATTCGGCGCCATAACACTTCGAAAATTCCAACTAAGCCTAATGCATGCCATTTAACGATTGCCTTTGTATGCATACTTGCGAGTGTGAGTGAGGTTGTGCGAATGTGTGTGTGTACCTGTTTGTTTATGTGTTTTTCCTATCTCACTGGCAGACATCCTCAGTTCGACAGATATGTTGCCCGTAAAAAGCAGCCCAATCCCCCATTTTAATTCCCGCTGCCATCGTCGTCCTTTTATTCACTCTCTGTGAGTTCTTCTTTACTTTGTTTATGTGCCCGTACAATGTGTCTCTTCCAGCATCAGCTATTCTTTTAAATATTAATATGGACTGGGTGCCTTACTGCTTTACAAATGTTCAGCAAATATTAAAAACCATGCTTGTCCTTTAAAAACAAAATCTTTATCCATGTGTTTTATTCAAAATTGATTTTTTATTCATGTTGGTTTGTATATTTCAAACAAACTGTTAAACTTGTATTCAATACTTGATTCGCTTTAATGGAACGGATAATATTAAATTAACTCAATGAAACACACAGTAACTACTTGCGTTTACACTTTTTAATTATAAGCTTTAGTTACACTTTCAGTTTTTTTTTTAGCATTTTTCCCAGTTTGTTGCACTCTTTGCGAGCATGTAAGCACTATGCATTTTTGATGAAAAACTCGCTTTACTTTTTACCCATGAGCTTTAATTGATTATTTTTACATAGGAGATTTCCCTTTTTTAATTGTATTCCTGGCGAAATGACATGCTCAGGTTGGAGAACTTTCTATGCCAGAGAGCCAAAATTTCATTTAAGCCATTCCATAAATTAAAACTTTGCTTGCCCAGAAGTGGAGAAAAGCAAAATAAAATCAAAGTTTTACGGTCACTGAAGGAGGGGATTGAAAATATTAAAATTGCTGTCCAGCCGGGATTTATTTTCTTAATCCAAATAATGTCAAAAAGCCACAAACAAGCGACAGCCACATAAAACAACTTTGCAAATGAGCACACCACACACACACACACACACACACATACTCTCATACAAGGGGGAAAACTGGAGAAAAATGTAATTTATTGTTATTACGAGAATAAATAAGAAAGGCAAGACACAGCAAGCAACGAAATGAATCAGGGGGCTGGAAAAGGCGTGGCCATGCCCTCCACCCTCATACACAAACACACACACACACACACACAGAAACAAACATGTGGTAATGCTGCAATGCTGAAATTGTGGCAAGTAAAAGCGAAGAAATTAAGCAACTGACCGCTGGCAAATAAACCGAAAAAACGAACACATACAAAGAAAAAGCACAAGAAATGGCAACGGCACCCATTTTATGTGCCATTACATTGTAAATAAAGTATTGTTTATTCCTGGTCGTATGAGTGCGTAGCTTTAGTGAACTATAACAAGTGAATTTATGTGAAACCGAAGTTGTGCCAGTGCCACATTTACTAAATAACCAAGCAGCCCAACTCAGGTCAGGTTTTATTTGTCACCCGGGGAAGGGGCGGAAAGGAATCTCAATGGCATTATCGTACCGCACTTAATCAGGTTTGGAATGGGAACGACTTTGGGTTTTTAATCTAATCAACTCGAAGCCACATGAAGGTGGTGCCAAACATTTCTTGCAAATTGCAAAACTTCGTCAGTTGCAACTTCGGTCGGATGCAACATTCTATTGCTCATTTTTCCGAGAATTCCACGGCCGAACTTTTCCGTACAGCCGGGAAATTTCAATTTATCTGCAGCCAGCTGAGCCATCGAGTTGATTTCGCCCGCCCGGGTAACCCTTCGGGTCAAGTGTGAGTAATTACCGCAGTTAGGCCGATCCGGCCAAAAGGAACCTGAGCAGGCAAATTAAATTTCCATGAGTCCAAGGGCCTAGCTTTAAAAATAGCTGCCTCCTGGGGAAAATGGGAAAAGCCCTTGTTTTTGTATTTTCTGCTGCTCAGTTGAGCATGTGCTCTCCCTATGTGTGCGTGTGTGTGTATGTGTGTGTGCTTGTATGAGGTCAGGAAACACTTGACTAAACATTTTCATTTTGGCCAAGAGTGGCCAGAAGTCAATGAATTTTGCCCCATGGCGTATGCATGATATTGCGTGTTGTGTTTTTCTAGCGCTAAATGATTTCATTAAGTGCGAACTCCAACACGGTGCCAAACTATAAAACATTGTTCTGACCGACTTAACATTTGGAACAATATTATCATATCGCTGAGATCGGTTTTTTAATTGTACATCAATTTTTAAAGCTATTCAAGAAAATATGACCCATCAACGTTTTTTTTGGTGAAAGGCTTTCTTAATATAAGTTCATCTTATTATTATGAGAAAAGTATATATGAAAATATATTTTACCCACAATGGGAATGCAGAAATTTGGCCTTGGCAGTATAATTGGCATTAAATTCTAATTAAAATTTAAACTGTAATTGAATTTTGATAATGCCATAAGTGAATTTCTCAAGCCGGACAAATTCAAAAGTCATGACCTTTCAAAGGAATGAGGCAAGGCGTCAATGACACATGGAATGCGACTTACAATTCGAACAAAAATGTAATTTATTCAGTGCCGAAACAAAGACACTGCCTCGCCCCAACAGAGCCCACATAATGAAAGACAAACAAAACATTCTTTCAGGCGCCGCTGCAACTGTTTGACATGGATAGCTGCCTTTGGCTGGGTCTGTCTTAGGGCTTGGGGTGTGTCAAAGTTCAAAGGACGAGGCGCAAGAATTAAAACGGATTGGGTGAGCAACGACACATAAACCAGCCAGAAGCCCCGATCCATCATCTTGGCACCACGGGGTTGAGGCTCTAATTGCATTAGGTGTGTGCGTCTATAATAAATCCATTTTCTAGACGGTTATTGAAAACTTATGTGCCTGCAGGACAAGAAAATTGCATGTCTTCAGCATGGACACTTTTGTATTCATAAGAAATCTCATCATATTCGCATACTCACAACTTGTCAATTGAGTGGAGAGTAAACCGTAAATTGCCTTAACGAACAGCTACCGAATCTAATTGAATTAGTTGAGATGGATTTTAATTGCAGACAAATATCTTGAGGGTCTAATGGGAAAATGTGTAGTAGTTTGAAAATTAATAATTAAGCTGCCAAGGTTTCTGGGAATTTACTGAAAAAAGCAGTCTAGAGTAAACTTAAGAGTATTGACCAGTAAACAAATCTTATTAAAGAGCTGCATGTTCCCTGCTCTCAGAGAGCATGAGACTCTCTCTCCCAAACTCTCTAGCTCTCTCACTCTGCACAAAAGCTTTCACTCCCAAAGCTTTCGGCTCTCTCGGCTCAAAGGATGCTGGGTGCAGAATACTCAAGCTCTGACCAAATGAGATGAGTCCTGCCATTGAGTCATTATTGAGTTTGGCGCTTTTCACACTTGATATTTTCTTGCTTTACTCCTGGTTGTTGTTTGTGCGATTCCACTTGGCTTAAATTTCATTTTCCTCTATCTTCAGCATTAGCCAGCACATTCCTCCTTTCTTTGCCCACAATTCTGTTTTTGTTGCCACTTCATTTTGGCCCGAAGAGTGGAAAAAAGGACTTCCCAGTCCGCTTTTGTTTTTTATCTTGCTGTTTGCCCTGCCTTGGGTTGCCCGTTTGCCTTCTGCTTCTTATCTCTACCCCTTTCTTTTTTTTTCCCTGCTCAGTTTTTGCCCCTGTTTTTGTTTTTATTGAACAGCGAACGCTTTCATTGTTTGATTTTTGTCAACGCTTCCCTGGCTCTGCTTCACTTTGCTTACATAAGTGCTCGTCCTGACGTCCTGCTAACTTGGCGAAGATGGGGCGCTCGAGGACTGGGCCATTTGTTTCTGCATCTTGCGTGTTTGGTTTTTTCTTTATTTGGCTTACCCACTGGCCATTGTTCATTTCTCGGTTAGTTGGTCTTTTAATCGTCTTGCTTAGTTATCCTGCCAACTGACTTTAGCCGTCTTTAGCCAAGCTTTTCGTTTCAATTAGTCGGAGAGCATTGCTTAAAGTGCTTTGCCGGTCTTCCGACTTAATCCCTGTGCTGCTGTTGCGTTTGAGTTATTAGGTTAATATTTAATTGACATTTCCCAGATCAAAGTCGGCAGGTTGTAGTTTGTTATTTTTCACCTTGGCTTAGCAGCTCGACGGGCCGGAACCTTGTTTTATCCAGCATTGATACGCTAATTACAGGGGATAATTTATCAAGCACACACACAAGTTGGCCTGACTGCTAAAAATTCAGCTGCAATGGCAAAAATTGCTACTTAATTATCCCATTCTTTGTACTGCTCCCTTTGCAATCCTTCGGATCCATCCTTGGCTCATCCACGTCGTCAATGTCACGACTGCATGCCGCCGTTTTCCCACCCTCCCTTCACTCGGAGTAACTTTACAATTAACTACTAATTGCTCATACGCCACGTTGCTCCGATAGAACAAAGTCAGGTGTGCGTGGCGGCAGCAGTTTTCCCACCTCCCATACAGCCCACTCCATTTTTCTTTGCCCGCCTTTTGCTCTAATTATCCGCGTTGTCACCCACCTGGCAGCGTTGTTGTCGCCATCGCTGCCTGGCATTTACTGAATTAAGTTTTAAATTTTTATTAAATGCCTTTGCGCATTTTTCGTGCCCGGCTTTCAGCTACTATAATTAGTTTTTAATTGCTTTTTCAGCTAACGAAACTATGCGAGCTTGCGAATAAATCGTAAACAGTTCACTGCTCTGTTAAAGATCCCCATTTTCCTCATTTAGAATTTTTTACGAGGCACCGCCGCGGCAAAGTCAATCAGCAATTGGGTCTGATCCACATCAACGGGTTGGTCGGAAAACGGCATACAAAAATATACGAACCAAAATGAAAACCAGCAAAAATCTTCAGCAGGGATAAAAAAGGAAAGTAATCACAAAACTTTTGCAATAAATCTATGAATATAATGAAAAACCCAATGTGGTACCCTCACTATTAGGTTTTCAATATTTCACACATGCAGAAGGATGTCAATATGGAAATGGGTGGGTCGCCCAAAAGGTCAGTGCGACAATAAAATACTCTCAGGCCAAGAATAGTAATAGGGAGTTCGATTGTTAAGAAAACTAGGGTATCTACATTTTACATGTATGGAGATACATCACGTTCGATCCCTGTTTTTTAAATCAATAACCATTTTACAATTTGTTTTAAGAATTTCGGTTTATTTAAATTTATTTAACCAAGATTACCTATTAATTGCAAATATATTAAATCATCTGAACACCCCATAATTAAAAGTAAGCAATATATTTTGAGAACTCTTTTTTGTTTTGAAAAAGTTCAGTAAATTAGTTCTAAACGAGCTCGGCATAAATCCAACAGAAACCCATATTTTCTGTTATTTATTTTCCTGTCAACAAATTATGCATTGCCAACTCTGGGTATCAGGTAGCTTTAATCACATAAGGCAAATACTTCACTCCCACAGAGTATCAATCAGCAAACATTGTATCCAAAAAGGTCCTTTCCACAGACCCACAGCCCATGTTGGTTCCAATTTTTGCACACAAACAAGCTATACTTTCCCCCACACACCGGCTCACCTCATGCAAATTGCAAACACATGTCGAAGGCGCAAAACAGTGTCAAGCAAAATGAAAAATTTATGAAAACGAAAATGAAAGAACAACAATACCAGCGAAAAATATGTCGCGCCGTGCTCCAAAAAAGAAGTGAACCAAACAAAATATAAATAAAACATATTTTCCAAGGGGAGATGAAAAAAGTGAAATTTTCGTTTCGTTTACGTGAAACTTCCAACTCATTTCGTCCAAATGACAAGCCATTTTGTGTGCCAAGTGCCAAATATTTTACATGCCAGCCAACCATATTTTAGCTGAAAAGAGCTCAAACAAAATGGAAAATTCGTAGAACGAGCAGAGCAGCTGGTTCACATATGCAAAATCGCTCATACGCAACGTTGCCGCCGAGCATTGAACAGCTTCAATTGCCGTTTGATGGTTCATTAAAATGTTGCTTGCTGCATTGGCTCGGAGCAATCAAGTACAATTAATCGAGACCAGGTGGCTCAACGAGCATTGAAATGAATGATGCAAAATCTGCAGAGGAGCCCGAAGGATCAAGTTTGCCAGGTGAAAACCATTTGCCAGTGGGCACCTATGATAAATTTCTGTTTTGCCTCATGCTCAGTTAAATAGCAAAATAAATTAAAGTGTGCAACTTAGCCTGCACCTTAATTGCCGAGCGAAGTCAGATCTTCAGGGGATCTTAACCCAAAAAATATATTCTAACTGTGGAATAATATTAATGGGATACCTGGCACACGTGCGCCAGTATTTACAATCATTACTTATCCCGAAATTGCTTAACATTAAACTGGTAGAGGAATCTTATACGTTTGTGACACTTAAAATTTCGCAGGTTTAATTCCCCAGTAACAAATTGAGTTATTTTATGTATTACAGTACCTATATAGATTTGCTTTTTGTAAAAATAAATTGACTATATTATTTATATGAAAGATTAGGTTAAAATATGTGTAATGTAGCTTAAAAAAATTATATACTTAATGTTGTATGTTCTTTTTCATTTCCTTAAATATTTTAATATCATTGAAATACTTTTCTTAAGATAAACGTAGTTTAAGAATCTAAAAACCTTATAATACGTTTCTCTAATTTTAAGCTTCATTTAAAATTCTGTCAAGTTGCTTGCAAATTAAAAAAAGTATCTTAGTTACTCCCAAATTTTTACTTCGAAACCACGGAAATTGTGATGTTGCACTCTCGACGGGGTATTGCGTTGTCGTGTATCTAGGGTTGAATAAACTTTCGTCAGGGTTTTCATGCGTTTGCATGCCACTCACGCAGGTGCTTTGCCTGGCCTCAGACACGCATGTATCTAATTTTAAAACATTTTTCAAACTCAATTACATTCCGAGAAGTCGCGCCAAGGGAGCTGGCTGATATAAGATAATGGGGGAAATGTATGTGGGAGTGCTCCTGCCAGGTAATTGCTTGCAAATTACACAGTAACCCCGGGAAGTAAAAACCAGGGGAGACAAAAACTGCGAGCTGCGAGCTGGGAACTGCGAAAAGTTTCCAGCACAGCTGCCTGAAGTTGAGAGACTCCTTGTAATGAAATCAAACAAAGACGCCGAATTCGAGCTACCTTGCAGAAAGGAGAAATCATTCCAAATTAGCAGCAAAACTCGGCAATTATGCGAGAAGTTGGCCAAAAGCAGTTGCCGACTCCACAAACCATTTACATTTTCTGTATGTCTCCACTGAGCAAATGCTAATTACTTGAAGTGCCCGCACAAAGTCAAAGCGAAAGCGAAACGAGAGTGGGAGAAAGTCAAGCCACAGGTTGACTGACAAACACATTGACAGCGCCTGACTGCAGGAAATGGCTGCGCCGAACAGCACAAAATGACTGTTTGTTTGCTTCCGGTCTGGGCCAAAGACGGCAAACACATTTAGCCACGAAGTGAGGAAAGTCCCGCCTCCGACCTCGCACATATTTTATGCAAACGAAAAGCTCACTGCCACTCTACTCTACTCTACTACCGGGCGGGAGAAAAAAACGTCTCTATAGGTGTGCTCACCGCAAACTTAAAATGGAAAACCGCGCCTGGCCGCATTCAAAATGCTTAGTTCACATTAATAATTCATAAAAATTTATGCGAAATAGACAACATTCGCCTCTGCGGTCCAAACCTGGCTGACAGCTGCCATTTTGCAGTCGGTGGGCCAATGAAGTCGACTTCAGCCAGCTGTTTGCTATTTCTGATATGCATTCGCCTTTGTTTTTATTCAGCTCTTTGTTTACATAACATACAGCTGCTGCAAAAGCCCCATATACTGGCCGTGTTGATGTTGTTTGTTCACTCCATTGTTTTTTGAACCAATTTATTTTCTGCACATACATAAGCCCACATTTTAAAGCACGGCTCTGCCTAGAGTATGCTCCCGTGTAACCTTGCTTTTGGGTTATTTCAGCATGGTAAATAGAGCAGAAACATTCTTTAAAAGGGAAACTTTTGATAGCTAGTAAAAATTGTAATTATTTGGTCAAAATATAGTCATGCCCATATTATTTTCGTATCCATTTTGATAACGGTTTTAGTGGCATACATAGTACATAACTTCGAATTCAGTAACCTACCCTTCCTAAATTAGACATCATCTCCATCATTTACCCACACTTATGCTTTTTATAATTTGTCTTATAAGCATCAATCTGCTATGAGCCCAGCAATTATAAAAGTAATTTCTTATTAATCCGCTTTAAAAGAAATTGAATTTTAAACCTCCCACCAATGGCCACATTCAATGTCAGATTTTTTCCAATACACTGGATGATGCGATTATGCCAGTTAGATACATATTTTCATATCAAAGCAGTTCTTGCGTCCAAAGTCTTTTAAATTACAAAATAAATTTGTTAAGGTTACCAAATTTTTTCCGCCAAATTTGTTTGGCTTAAATGGTTAGAATGAGAGGGCGATTTGGAGTGGCTTTTTGCCGACATCGGAGGATGTGTTTTCGAGTCGAGGAAGGAATTCTTTGGTGCTTGAAACGTCATCGAGGGAAATTTGTGAGCTTACTTCATCCCATTTCGGCATTCACCCTCCTTAGTGTGATTGTATTTCTGTTCGTCTATGAGTTGGGCTACGTTTTGCCTCTGTTGACCGATCCTCTGGGGATGTGGCACAAGTTAAACTGGCTGTTGGCCATTTATATAGTCTTCAATATTCTGGGCAATTGGTGGCTCGGATTTATGTGCAACACTGCGGTAGATAGTGTGCCACCCAAGCGACAGCATCCAACGGTCGGTGAGGCCCACCTGTGGCACTATTGCAGCTCCTGCCAAAAACTAGTGCCCCCAAGGTCCTGGCACTGCCGATTGTGCAATCAGTGTATCCTGAAGCGGGATCACCACTGTACTTTCTCGGGCAATTGTATTGGCCACAATAATCAGCGCTATTTCCTTGCATTTTTGTTTCACCTGAGTTTGGGCAGCGGACTGGCTCTCGTTTACAATACCTTGTTGGTCTGGAAATCCAAGGCCTTTATGGTCGCTGAACCATTGTTCCTCATAAACGAAAACCATGCAAATGATCCTGATTTTAACTGGAAGTACACTATTGCCTGTATGTTTAAACTCAGTTTCTTTCTTTTCATGGTCCCCCTGGCAATGTTTGCCTTGCAAATGGTGATGGTCTATCGCAATAGTACATGCTATAGGATACTAGATCGCAGCTACGATGTCGGTTGGCGGCAAAACTTTGAAATTGTTCTAGGAAAACGGCGATTTTGGACCTTCTTTTCGCCCACCATTTCAAGTGCTCTTCCCAACGATGGCGCACAGTGGTTTCAAAGGCAGCACGTATAAAATAATAATATAAATATGGATAATAAAGAAAGTAAAAAATAGTCTAAATATAGAAAAATAACTGGCTTAAACTTAAAAAAAATAAATTAAATAAAAAAAACATTAGTTTACATTTAAAGCATCTATTTTTCTCTCCCTTATATTATATAAATAAATATTTTGAGCCACACGCAAAAACGTGCAATTTCGTCAATTATTCATAGACAATCATTTTTTAATCAGGGCACTCTTTGATTTAATAATCAACACAAGGCAAGTTCTGTGAAATTTATGTAATTTGTACCTAAAATATTTTATTTTAATATTCAATCAAGAAATACCATAGCTTAATATCTTTAGCCATGTGCTACGTTAATAGTGTGTGCAAATATTATGCCAATCGCTACCCTGAGAAGTTCGTGAAGATAGTGCATCCGTTTTCGGTGATCTTCGTATTGGTTGGCATCGTCTTCTTTTTCTCGGTGCAAATGTTGTACATTGCTCCCAAAGTATACGGCGACTTAGCGTACAAGCTCTACTGGATTTTGGCCATCTTCGTAACGTACAATGTCCTGGGAAATATGCTGGCCTGTTATTCCACAAACACTTCGGTCTCCAGTTTGCCCAAGGAGCGGCAAGTTCCGGATCCGGAGGAGGAACACCTGTGGCATTACTGTGAAATCTGTCAGAAGCTAATGCCTCCACGATCCTGGCACTGTGTTTTGTGCAAGGCCTGCATTTTGAAGAGGGACCACCACTGCATCTTCACGGCGACTTGCATCGGACACAACAATCAGCGGTATTTCTTCTGGCTCACATTCTATATAACATGTGGATTGGTTGTGAGCTTTGCCACCTTCAGCATTTATGTTTGCAAGGTTGGCCTGCGCAATTTCATGTTCTCGCCCGTGGAGTTAATAGTCAAGATTGCCTACAAGGACCATGGCTGTAGTTCAAGAAGTATTTTTGAGAATCTCGCACTTAACCTGAATATTATCACCTGTTTAATTCCCGGCTTCATGTTGGCATACCAAATTCAGATTTTGTACCTTAACTCTAGTTACTACGAAATGTTTACTCGCATATACGATTTGGGTGTTCGAGAAAACTGCAAAATTGTCATGGGCCAACGAGGCCTCTGGACTTTTTTATCGCCCTCATTGAAGAGTCCTCTGCCCAACGATGGAACCCAGTGGCAAATGAAGCGGAACCTATAAATTTATTGCATCGTTATACGATTTACAAAATTATTTTCCCTTACTCATTGCCAATAAATGTTTAGAATTTAAATTTAAATATTTAAACTGTAGGAAATCTTTAAATACGAATTGGTCACAGCTCTAATGAAAAATTAAGTTGGTAGATCTATTAAAATATGGTTTTAGTCATATTTTTCAATAGTTGTAAGGTTATAAATTTAAAAAGGAAATGATAAGTTAGTTGCTGTTTTTTTGTCAATATAGTATATATAGACAGGTCGTCAAATTTGTATTTTACCATTTTCCTTGAATTTTCGTACGCTTTTGATAAAATAAAATGCTGCTATGAGCCAAAAGTCAGTTTTGTAATGTCAATAATAACTTTTAAAACGTTTGTGCTTTCACATTCAATCTTAAAATCACTTTATTACTGTATTTACATATCTTCATAATCATGTGCATCGTGACTGAATTGTGCCACCATTTAGCCAAGCGTTATCCCAAAAAGTTCGTGATCATTGGACATCCGATTTCGGTGATTTTGGTATTGGTTGCGACTCCTTTCTTTTTCACGCTGCAGATGTTTTACATAGCACCCAAAATTTTCAATGACGTCTTGTACAAGTTTTACTGGGTAGTGGCTATCTTTATAACGCACAACATCTTGGGAAATATGCTTTTCTGTTATTTATATAACTCTTCGGTGGAGAGATTGCCCAAGGAAGGTAATCTTCCGGTTCCGGAAGAGAAGCACCTATGGCATTATTGTGAAATCTGCCAGAAGCTAATGCCGCCTCGATCCTGGCATTGTGCACTGTGTGGATGCTGCATTTTAAAACGTGACCACCACTGCTTGTTTACGGCCTCTTGTGTCGGACACAATAACCACCGATATTTCTTCTGGTTCACATTCTATATGACACTTGGAACTTTCTTGAGCTTGATCACCTCATTAGTCTATGGGATAATGAGTGGCATTTCGATTCCTTTCTATGACATGTTTTATTTATTAATGAAGGATACTTCGCCCACTTCCTGCAGCTACTGTCAGTATATTATCTTGCTCCTCAACAATGTCGCCTGTGCTGTCCCTGCCCTTATGTTGGCATTTCAAATTCAGATTGTTTGCCTAAATGCTACCTACTACCAAATATTTGATCGCACCTACGACCTGGGCTTCCGAAAGAACTGCAAGCTAATCATGGGTCAACGAGGCCTCTGGACTTTTTTATCGCCGACTTTAAAAAGTCCTTTGCTCCACGACGGAAAACAATGGCAGATGAGGCCTGAGTCTAAATTAATTAATGCCCCCAAAGATAATGTAAACTAGTACTGAGAACTATAAAAATATATTGGTAGATGTGGACTCAAAGTCGATGTTCCTTTAAGGCTTGTTTAAGACTTGCTATACTTGTCAGTTATTTCAAATAAAATAATAATAACAACCATTTGCGAATTAGCTAAAAACCTCAATGGATGAAAGTGACAAATATAGTGTAGAAGTATGTTAAGATTCATAATCGATCATTTGAAATATTAATCAGTGTGCTCAACATTGAAGACAAAAAATTACAGTTTTTTTAAAGTCTCCTATCTGCAGTTTATGGAAACTCTTTGGGGATTTTTAAGGCACCGGAACACCATGGATTCACCGAAACAAAATGGGAATTGCGGATGTCAAACCCTCGTTGTCAAAAGAACCAAGTCCTGGTTGGATCCGCTGGCAGTGTTTGCGGCTGTCTTTTTGACCCTTTTCTTCTACCTATACGAAGTGTTTTACGTAATGCCACAACTTTTGGGATTCTTTGGACAGGCGATCCACTTTGTGGTGGCCACTTGGCTGGAGTATAACATCCTGGGAAATTTGAGGATCTGTGCCAAGACAAAGAACTCTGTGGACACTTTGCCACCGGAGTTGTTGAAACCGCGCAAAGGAGAGGAGCATTTGTGGCACTTTTGCGACAAATGCCAGCGGACTGTTCCGCCGAGATCCTGGCACTGCAAAGTCTGCAATGTATGCATTTTGAAGCGGGATCACCACTGCAACTTCGTGGGCAACTGTGTGGGGCATAACAACCAGCGCTACTTTATATGGTTCACCTTTTACGCGACCATCGGCAGCGGATTGGCGCTCCTCGATAATGCCCTATTCGCCTATAAGTACCACGTTGAAGTGATTAATTTTTTCTCGGTCAATAACCTTTTGATTAGGGAGTATTACAATCCTGGTACATCATCCGACTTTGGCCTACAATGCCTAGTAAGGATAGTCTTTTGGATTAACATATGTGCCGTTTTATTTCCGGGCGTCCTGTTTTTCACACAAATATCGATGGTCCGAAAAAACTCTGTAATGTTTAATACTTCCGATCGAGCCTACGATATGGGACTTGAAAGAAATTTCGCTCAGGTCTTTGGACGACGTCGATTCTGGACACTCATATCGCCGAACATCAAGAGTCCTCTTCCACACGACGGAACTCGGTGGCAATTGAAGCCTACCATATAAACTAAAATCTACCCATTGTTTAAGATTGTATTTTATTTTGTAACCCGCATAATCGAGTTTTTTGCCTCATTTAATTCTGCTAATGACCATGGAAAAATAAGGGGTGTGTGAGATAGTTGTGACTGTGGACGTGCCACGTGTCAAAGCCTTATCCGGTTTCCAGTTTGGACTGAGAGTCTATACTCTTATTTTAGAGGGGTCAATAATATCTAAGGAAAAGTTCCTGTAAGGTTCAGGGTACAGGGAAAGAAAACCATTATTTTCAGATAAGTCTCATTTTTATGGTAGCTTAGTACTATCACAAACAGCTGTTAACAAAAACATTTAGACTATAAACTAGTTACAAAGCACTGGAAAACTTTGTTATTCTAATGGACATGTAAATATTTCACAACATAAATTATAAAAACAAGTGATTGAGAGATTTTACTTTATTATAAGTAACATTGAGTTTTTGAAAATCAAAAGTGTTTTCTCATTATGAACATAATTATGTTATATTAAGCAATTGTTTTTGTTCCGTTATAGATGTTTTACATAATTTTTTTTTTCATAATATCTATATAAGTTATCTTTCATTCTTTAGTAATAGTAAATATTTTGTGTAAATGAATATATTGTAAGTAACAAATTGTATATTTATTTTCCTGTTTTGGTTGTAATTGATAGGATATAAGCCATTCCACTCGATATCAGTTGGTGATTTTGTTCTTGACTTTAAGCGCTCTACATTTGCATAAAGTTCCTAATCTGAGAAGGCCTCATGCCCGGCGAAGTCAACCTCAAATCTGTCCATGGCTTGTGTCACCTTCTGCCGCAAGTCGAAAACACTTGTCAAGTGTCGGAAAAAGCCAAAATCCGTTTTGAAAAATGAAAGCGCCTAGAACAGGGACTCGACATAGACAGTTCTGGGTGGCAGAGGGATGGGCCATGGGAGAATTAATGACGGGCGCATGCCAGTGACAAGCCTCGGAACATGGAATCAAAGTCCAAAAGTGGGCGTATCCGTGTTCGGTGCATGAAAAATGTTCGAGGTGCGAAATCTGTTGTGAGGTCTAAACAACATAATTGCCAAATAAAAAAGTCGCCGACGGCTCCAAACGCGCCTGACCATTAATCAAAACTGGCTGAAAAATGAGCAGAAGCATTTCGAGGAGCACTCGGATCAGCTGCCTCCGGGCAGAAGCACGAGACTCCCGGTCCACTGAGAAATGGCATTGTCAACACTTTTTGGCCAATTGGCCAAGGCGGGGAATCCCCGTCGGCGGCATTTGTTCCGGCACTCGCTTATTGCGACGGCCATATCTAAGTCCCCGATTCCGATTCCGCCTCCCCCCTCCCCCCCAACAACTTATAGCTGATGACCCCTGATTTCTGATTCCTGATTGCAGCGCACTCAATTGGGCAACTTCCGAGGGCCAAAACAAAAAAAAAAGAGGAGGAGCTGAAACGTGTGTCTGGCCTTTAAAGATCCAGGCAAGACCACAAAGCAGCTTTCCCCACATTTAAAGTCCACTAATCATTCGCCGCATTGTCCCAGGACAAGAGTGGGAATTTCGGTAGAGGAACCTGTCATGGCTTCTGTTGCGGATATTTGAATGTGCCGTCAACAAGGCGGCGTGGGCTTGGGTGTTGGGTTTGCCTGTGGTAAACTCCAACTGCGGGCCATCTCTAATAGAGCAAGGAGAAGGAGCCCCTGCGCCCTCAAATACAGATAGCAACCACTGCCAGAAACCGGCTGTGTTAGCTGGATGGCTGACTGTCTCTCAGCCTAAACCACTTTCTCATACGGCTCATGTGTGCAGGATACAATTTACTACCAAGCATTTTCCAACGATGTTCGACTGTTCAAAGGACAAAGAGGATATAGGGCAGGGAAAAGGGAGTTACGATGACACACGGCTGCTGGTCGAGATCATGGGGGTCATTGTAATCCTAACTGGGAGGAAGACTATCTAAACAAGAAAGGCGCCAAATTAGTCACATGCCTGCTGTTAAAAATAAGCCATTCTAAATAATTTCATTATAACAATTCACAGAATTTAACCCTGACCAGTAGCAAATTCTACACCCCAACTCTTTTGGCAAGCCAACGAAAACAATGGAGTGGAGCGGCTTTTCCTGCAGATTTTTCACCAACGCTGACTGCGCTGCTGCTGCTCTGGTTTTCCTCTATTTTTTCTCTGCTTTTCCTCTGCTTTTTCTCTGCTTCTCCGCTGCTTTTTCGCCGCTTTACTCTGCTTTTGGATGATGGACAAATGGCATCGTCAAGTAAGCAACTAAGCAGCGACAGTTTTTATGATTTTTCGGTTTCAGCGATACTTCCTTTTGTTTGCTCTGCAATTATTTCCCCTGACGAGAAAAGTGGACTGTAATGTTACTGTTGCCGTCTCTTTCGGTCTTTGTGTCGCTTATGTTAACTCACCCTAATTTTTCACTTTGATACAATTTTCGGACTTTTTTTTTTTAGGAATGGGGCAATAACGCTTTGTTTTTCATATTTTCTTTGAAATTCGAGAGCATGTTTGTTGGAGTTCTAAGCATTTGCATACA